TGTTCCCTGAGTACTAGCCATGCAACAGGCCTCGTACTAAGCCCTTTACCTGCATTATCCTGTCTCATCCTCCCAGCAACCCAGGGTTCGAATCCTATCTACGTCACATCCTGGCTGTGTGGCCCTGAACAAATGTCTTAAACTCTCTGAACCTCGGATTTCTCATCCATCAAATGGGAATAATTGCAGCACCCACCACCTCCCAAAAATGCAGCAAAGGGCATCGCTACTGTTTATCCCTGCCCCCCCTCCCCCATTGCCTCAGCATACCTTCAGCTCGGGCATGGTGCCGATGAGCTCGTACGGCACCTTCACGTCGGGGCAGCTGGTATAGTCCAGAGGGACCAGCTGGGGGGCCAGGTCCTGGTAGCGGTAGAAGAGCCTGGTGCAGGGATGGAAACACCGGGCTGGGTTGGGAGGTGATGGGAGGAAGAGGACTTGACCGTCCTCTCTCACTTGCAGCTGCTCACTCCAGGCTGAAAGATGTTGGGTTCCTAAGAGCCATCAGCCCTGGACCTGGCCTTCAGGCTCACAGCCACCTCTACCTCCCAGGGATCACAGCCAAGGTAGAAAGAGGGCCCTAGGGGGTGGAGGGAAAGGTGGGTGGGTGGGAAGTAATCAACCAAGAACCTTGCATGCATATATACAAGGCCTATGGCAGCAGACAATGGGATGGTGAGGGCCTGGGGGAGGGGGGAGGGGTGGGCTGGAGGTGGTCAATGGGGGAAAATAGGAGACATACGTAATACTTTCAACAATAAAGAATTGTTTAACCATCTCCCCCAACACACACCAAGAAGTAAGAGGGCTCTAAAGCTCAGGGAGACCTGACTGGGGAAAGCAAGCCAGGGAGGAGGAGAAAGGAGGAGGAGAAAGGACTTCCTGCAGGAGGAGGCATTGGTGCTGGGCTTTGAAGCATGAATAGGAGCTCACCACGTCTATTGGGTGGGCATAAGGGAAAGTGCTTAAGGTCATTCCACAACCAGCATCTGGAGGATCTGAGCCAACCTATGAAACTCTGGACATTATCACATTATTGGCAAGTTCATGCCTCCAAAGTCCCCCATCCTCACACTTTGCTTCTCTCCCTCCATAATGAGGAGCAGAGTTCCCTCAATGGGGCAAAGCAAAGACAGAGGCTAAAATCCAGGCTTTGAAAGGGTGACTGACGTGCACTTCAGAAAACACCAAGTGACATGCACACAGCCTAGCCTGGGAGGCCAGCTCCCCACACTGATGGCCTCACCTGGTGATGCCATACGGTCACTAGAGGAGCATGCTGAGCAGCAGCCTGGTAGAGACCATCTTTGATGAGTGAGGGGTCCCCAAGCTTCTAGGGAATGTCTCAGAAGGGGACAGGAGTCCCTGGGTCAAAGGAAGACTAGGCACGCAAGGAGGGAGCATCTGGAATTCAGTCACGACCACCCAGTCCCTTCTTCAGGTTTCCTCAGGGAACAGCCTGAGTTCGGGTCTCTGTATGGACTTGAGCAAGTCCCCCTAATCCTCTGAGCTTCCATTAGTCTGTCTAACACATGAGAAGCTTGGGACAGACGACATGCCAGCCCTCAAGCTCCTTGGGAGTTGGCCCATCGGCAAAGCCAGGGTCAGCGGCCCCTGTCCCAGCCTCAGTTTCCCATCGGTAATTCGATAACGATGGCCAGGGTGACCCTGCCAACTGCCCTCGCCCAGACAATGGGGCTCACTCATGAAAGGTGTGCCCATCAATAATGGATGCCCTGTGCCCACATAATTGGACCCTTGGCCTCCATCGCTCTGCAGCCAAACCCTGGGAAGCTTGGGTTTCACAGTTCCAAGTCCTGGGTCAGAGCCTCTGGGCGATGGCACCATGGGCCAAGCAGTGATGTAGGGTATCCATCCACACCTGTCTCCCTCACGCCAGGAGCTGGCAGCAGCCTCAGGGTGCCTCCCACACCCTCCCCTGGATGCCAACCTCAAAGCCCAGAGCTGGCTGTGGACTCTGCCTCTGGGCTCCCAACCTCTTTGCCTTGACCTCCAGGGGGCCTTTTAACATGCTGATGTGTCTCTCCCCTGCTCACGCCCTCTCCATGGCTCCCTGCCACCCTTGGGAGAAAGCCTAAGCTTGTCAGCCTAGAGGCGTGACAATGACAAGAGGTGACCTCTCAGCCTCCCTATCTCTGCCTCCATCTACCGAACATTAATTATCACTCTGCTGCGAAGCTTCGGGTCTTGTCAAATTGCAAACATCCTCCGGCAGGCCACGTATAGAAAATTGTTTCAGGGTCTTCCTCCCTTCATCCCCAGACTGACCTCATGATCTCCTTCCTGGTGAAGAAGGTGCAGTCCTGTGGAGAGAGATGTGGGCTTGGCCCAGGCCCTACCCAGGGGGCCTCCTTCCTCCTCCACCACCCCGTTCTCATTTCTGCCCGTGCCGCCCACAGGAGCCCTTGTGCCTGCACACCCAGGACCAAGGGATGCGGTCCCCCCTCCTCAGGCCAGGAATCCAAGGCTGACAAACCCACGGAGGGCCCCGCTCACCACTCCTACCTGATACTCTTCCAACTGCTCATGAGTGAAGACGGTTTGCTTGTTGCCCATGGTGAAGGCCACTGCCAAGAACAGGCCCCAGAAGCCCCCAGTCTCCTCAGTGTCACCCAGTTGCCAGGCTGCCTCACACCAGTGCCTGAGAAAAATCTCCCTGCCCTGGCTGTCACCCGCCCACCCGCCCCATCACCCCCAGCCTGGGGGAGACTCAAGTTACAGCCCAGCTCTTTGGACAACAGCCTGAGTATGTCCATGGCCACCAGGGCAAGGAGAAGGGCCATGGGAGGTCACAGAACCTCAGACCACATCTGCTACCCCCGGGTGAGCCTGCCAGCAGGGGATGCCTCCCAGAGACAGGTAGTGTGGTGAGGGAGAAGGGGGGTTGCAAGCAGACCCCAACTCAAATACCAGTTCCCCAACCACTAGCTGTGCAGCCTCAGGCCAGTCACCTGACCTCTCTGAGCCTTATGTTATAAGGTGGAAATTACTCTAATACCTACACCATAGAATTCTGAAGATCTAGTGGTCATTAATGCAACCAAAACAGCCAAGCAAGGTGAGCAAGCTCTATGATCTGCTGCACAGCATTGCACCTGTAGTCAACATTCATGTACTGCACACCTAAAAATGTCTTAAGCCCGGCCGGTGTGGCTCAGTGGTTGAGCATTGTCCCATGTGCCAAGAGGTCGCTGGTTGGGTTCCAGTCAAGTCACATGCCTAGGTTTCAGGCTTGTTCCCCAGTAGGGGGCATGCAGGAGGCAGCTGATTGATGTTTCTCTCTCATTGATGTTTCTCCCTCTCTCTCCCTTCTCCCTCTCCCTTTCCAAAAAATCAATGAAAGAAAAAAACATATGAAAAAAATTTCTTAAGAGGATAAATCTCTTATGTTCTTACCACAAAAAAAAAATAAAATGAAATGAAAACATATAACTATCATGTGATCCAACACTTGCACTCTTGGGCAGGCCCAGATAAATGACAATGTATGTTCACACAAAAACCTGTAACAGCCCAAATGGGAAACACCCATATGTCCTTTTCACTTAAAATTTAAATTATTGCCCTGGCTGACAGTAGTTAGAGTATAGCAGGCTGGATTCCCAGTCAAGGGCACATACCTCAATTACAAGTTCAATCCCTGGCCCTATTTGGAAGGCAACCAATTGATGTCTCTCTCTCTCTCTCTCTCTCTCTCTCTCTCTCTCTCTCTCCCTCCCTCCCTCCCCCCTCCCTTCCACACTCTCTAAAAAATCAATGGAAAAAATATCCTATTCCTTGGGTGAGGATTTAAAAAATCCTCAATGGGGGCAATATTAGCCCCAAATGGACAAAAGGTGGTTTGGGGTGGGACCAAAAAGTCTTGGTCTCGCCCCAAAGGTATTCAATAGTTTGTGGCTCTCCAAAGCTTTACCTTCCCTGACAAAATCTTATTATCAGTATTTAACTTCTCTCATTAAAGTTGTTTTTGTTTTTTTTAAGGGGATGAAAATGAGAAAAAAAGGTTGGGAAATATTGTCTTAAAGGTATTTACATCCACTTACAACAGGTAGTGACAAAAGCAAGGATGGAACACTCAGCACAAGTTGGATTACAGTTGTGCCTCAGTTTCCCTACCTACAAAACGAGTATGGTTTATGTAATAAGGTGACTGGGGAAGGAAACGAGATGATTCATATAAAGTATTAGTTGTTGCTATAATCATTGCCATTTAATGAGGAAAGGGCAGGTCAGAGACATGAAGACGCTTGCTCTAGGGTACAAAAGCCTTGGGAGCGCCAAGGAACCAGCTCCTCAGCTGCTGGGTTGGCTGGGGGAGAACACATTTCTCCTGGTGCGTCTTCCCTGTCCCTCTGCGAGGAGTCGGTTCTGTCACGCATGGTCCCAAGTGGAAACTGGCACAGGCTGGCAGACTGCATCCTTCGCTTTGGCACTCATCCAATTCTGGACTGCCCAAGGGTGAGCCTCGGCTAGAGAATTGGGCGATCGTTTGCTGCCTCCTGCAGGTAGAACTGGGAAATCCAAGCACCGAGACTGTCCCAAGTCGTCTATATTTGGGAATGCTTCCTACAACACCGCCCCCGCCCCCCCCCCCCTAGCCCCAACCCCTGCCCATCCCACCACCCCCAGCCTCAACAATTTGGGCAACATAAATAAATAAAATAAAATAAAAATAAAAAATTGGGCAACAGCAGTACAAACTAAAATTCACATTACCCATTGAACCCTCAAAACATGGCAATAAAAAAAACGAATCCAAATGCACGCAGAACACTCAACAGGACGATAGATTTTAAGAAGCGGAATTTGTCAAACTGGCTTCACTGGGAGGGAGGGGTGACAAGAGCAAAGAAACCGGAAGTGTGTGCCAAAGCCGGAAGTGTGTTGGAGGAGGCGGCGGAGCCTGACTCTCCGCCCCGCCCACAAACACAGAAGTGTTCCAAACGCGCATGAGCACTGCCCACCTCGGCCAATGAAGACGAAGCGAGGCGGGATTTCGGCCGGATATGAAGCTCCTAAACAGGAAATGTGGCAGTTTCATCCTGATCTGCGAGCCGGCGCCATGGCGGCCTACGAGCAGGTCCAAAAGGGGCCCTTGAAGCTGAAAGGCGTCGCAGAGCTCGGCGTGACCAAGCGGTGAGTCCCAAGAGCCTGCGGGGAACCCCGTCTTCCGCCCGTAGCCACGTCCCGACACACTGGCCTCTTGCTCCCTGACCCCATCTTACCCCACATTCCCCATCACCACTGCCCGGCTCCCCTTTCAGGAAGAAGAAGAAGAAGGACAAAGACAAGGCGAAACTCCTGGAAGCCATGGGCACAAGCAAAAAGAACGAGGAGGAGAAGCGGCGCGGCCTGGACAAGCGGACCCCGGCCCAGGCTGCCTTCGAGAAGATGCAGGAAAAGCGGGTGAGGCTCGTGGGGTGTTGGGGGAGGGGGAGCGGGCCTGGATGTCCCGCTCCATGGGCTCGGGTCTCCCGGAGTAGAGGCGTAGGACGGGCCGAGAGACTCGAAACCCGGACGCTTGAGGGATGGCGAGCAGTAAGGGAGGACTTTCATTCCGGGGAGAAGATGCTTTGTGAGAGGAAGAGCCCACTACGTAGACGGCGGAAGGTAGAGCTGCAGGTGGCGTTGAAAGGAGCTAGAGCTGGCGACCCGAGTTTGAATCCCAGTGCTATCTCTTCATTTGTCCCGTGACACTGGGCCTGTAACTCATCTTCTCCCTGGGCCTCGTTTTTCTAATCTGTAGGAGTCAGGATAGACTCCTTTTCTTAAGAAAGATGGGACCTTTGAAATGCAAGTATATTGCATTTGTCATTGGGTCTGGTATGAAGTCAATGTTCGGTTGATGTTAGCTGTTGATATTAAATGGTCCTGCCCCCTGTTGTCAGTCACCACAGTCTGTTTCCATGACAACATTGTTTGCAGATTCAAATGTCTGTTATTTATTTTACTATTAAACTCTTAATAAATGTGTGCAACGGGGGATAGGGGATCAGCCTTAAGTAGATAAGCTTGGCCCTTATGCTGGGAGGAGGGGAAAATAGGTCTAGGTCAGTGATTGTCAACTGAGGGCTATGTTGCCGCCCCCCCCCCCCCCCCCCCACACACACTACTTACATACCCAAGAAGTCAGTTGGCAATATTTGGAGACATTTTTGTTTGTTGTAACTCAGGCTGGGTGCTCCTGGAATCTAGTGAGGTGGAGGCCAGAAATGCTGCCGACATCTGACATCCTACAGTGCTTAAGACAGCGCCCCCTACAGGAAAAACTGATATGGCCCCAAACATCAGTAATGCCCAGGCTGAGAAACTACCCGTGGTCTGAGTGATTTGGTCCAGTGACCTTAGGGAAAAATTTACTGTTTGCTCTTAGGCCTAATTCAGTCATTAAAAAGAAAAAGAAAAAGTGAGATGCACTGGCTTTGGCAAGACAGACCTGGGTTCCACTCTGTCTCTACTGTTTGTTGGTGGTGTAACTGGACAATTTGGCCGATCCCCCACACCTCAGTTTTTTCATCTGTAAAGTGGGGTTGAAGTCCCTACCTCATTGGTTTGTGGTGTGGATTTAACAAGTGAATGCACTAAGTCCCCGCTTAAGGTTATAGTTAGAGGCAGGGCTGGGCTGTTACTCCATCAGCAGAGGTGGGGTAGGGAGACGCTAATGTAACCTACAAGGTCGGGCAATAACAGTGGAAGGTGTCGGGTTTGGGTTAGATTTTGAATGAAGAACAGGATCAACTGATGAATTGGATGTGGACTGGGAAAAGAGAATCAAGGATGATCAAGATTTTTGGCAGGAGAAGCAGGGTAAATGAAGGTACTGGTTACTGAAATAGGAAGGGCTGCAGGTAAAATAGGTTTTTGAAGAAAGGTATTAAGATCTTGGCTTTAGAAAAGTCAAATTCTTCAAGCATCCCTGGCCTCCACCTCATTAGATGACACCTGAATCTGCAGTTTGGGGAAGAGGTGGGCCCCGGATAGACACTGGAAATTGCTGTGGGTCTGGATGAACTCCTGAAGAGAGACAGTGCCTGAGAAGAGGTGTGAGGTCTTTCCTCTGGTGATTAGAGGGTGGCAGAGAAGAAATTGCAAAGGAGCATGGGAAGGAGGAATAACAGGAGAGAGTGTGTTTGAGAGCTGAGTGGAGAAAGTGATTTGACGAGAAGGAAGTGATCAGCTGTGTCTTATGCTGCCAAGAGGTCTTGTGGGGTGAGCACTGAGAGCCCTTAGTTGGCATGTAGAATGAGGAGGAAGAAAGACCAAGTAAACATTGTATGTCAACTATAATGAAAAATAAGTTTAAAAACAAAGGTGGATTAGAGTGGATCCAAGAGAAGGTGGGAAGGCAGAGGTGGAGACGAGGAATAGAAATGGCTCTTGGAGATTTACTGTTAAGGGGAACAGAAAAGTGGGCCTGTTGTTGGCATTTAAAACCAGAAGTACTGTTGTCAGTTTTGTTTGACCAAGGGGAGAGAGAGGTGAGGTGGATGAGGGAGGAAAGAGGTGTGGGCAAAGCTGGGCACGGTTGGGCAATGCAGATTCCCTTGTGTTTGGTGAAAGGTGTTTGATTGGGCACAGGGAGCGAGAAGGCTGGCCAACTCCTGGCTCCTGGGTGCAGGGCCCTTGGGATGGGCCCCTGCCTATTGGAAGGGGTCACGGCTTGATACCTTCAGGCCTATCACCCGCTGTACACTCTGTCCTTATTTCTCTGTATGAAATGGAGATGGTGACAGCTCCCGAGACACCCTGTGACCTTGGTGCATGGAGTTGGGAGAGAGAAGGCAGAGCCTGGCATTGGTGACAGCTGCTCAAGTCAGTTTGGCTTCTTGTGAGGACACATGGGTCTCACGTGGGCTCACAGCAGTAGGAAGAGAGGCAGGGATGGACCGGGCAGACAATTCGGAGGGAGGGTCATTCATTTGGGAGCTGACAAATGAGGGAGATGAAGCAGCAAATGACAACAGGAGGGACAGGGAGCAACAGTGAGGTGGCAGCTGACAGGATTACCTTCTGGGTCTGTGGATTGACTGGCTCATCTAGGTGGTTCTGCTGACTATGCTTAGAGTTTGGTGCAGTCAGACGGCAGGTGGGGCTGGAGGCCCAGCGGGGCTGGAACATCCAAGAGGGCTTTGCCGTCACATGTCCAGTGCCTCATGCTCCTTCCGTGGCCTCCCTCCCCACATGTCATTTCATCTGCCAGGTCCTTTCTTTCCAGGGAGGTCATCAGACTTCCTGCAGGATTGCTGGCTCCCAGGGGCACAAAGCAAATGTTGTTGGATCTTCTATGGCTTCTGGCTAGTCCTGTCACTACGTTCTGTTATTAAGTAAGCTGAGTCTTGGGGCCAGTCCAGAGTCAGTGCAGTCAGACAACTGCACAAGACCAGGAATACCAGGCAGCAGTTTCTGGATGTATGAGGAGGTGTGGGCCACCAGTGTGGGTTGGCCACAGTCACCTAGCTGGTAAGTGTAGTGTAGGGTGCAGCCCCGGGTCTCTCTGGCTCTGCATCCCACACTCTTACCAGGTACCATTGGGTATTGGGAATGAATGCTGAGCCAGGCCATGGTTGTGCTGGATACATAAGCTAGAATCACTCATGAAGGTGATCCTCCTGGCACTGTGAACATTAGATGGATACTGTCACTCAAGCCTACTGTGTGTCAGGCTCTTTGCTCATTTCTCATCTTTCCTCAAACCCCATTGGGGACTTTCCTTTTCTGAAAAATGGGAATTCTGCCAGTTGCCCAAGAAAGCACTTGTACAGCTCCCAATAGTAGTTGTGCTAGTACATTTCCTGCCACTCAGACCAAAGGGCAGCTGACCTGAGTTTCTAGTGGGATGTGTGGTAGCCAGGTGTCCCTGTCAGACCAGCCTGAGTGGATTTGAGGGACCTGAGGGCTCCAGCTGTTCTATAATAGTTCTGAGAGCCAGGCCTGCTGGGGCTCCGATCTTCCATCCTGTGCTAGCCTGGGCTGTGTCTCACCTGCATTCTCTCCTTCTGCAGCAAATGGAAAGGATCCTGAAGAAAGCCTCCAAAACCCACAAGCAAAGAGTGGAGGTAAGGCATGTGTCCATACGGGGAGGCTGAACCATGTAGGTCCCACTGGCCCAGAGACTTGGAGCCAGGCAGAGGAGTCACGGGAGTGTCAGTGGGGAGTGGGTTTACCCAACCTCCCTGGGGTCATTGAAGGGAGCAGCCAGGGTTCGGGCAGCTGGAAGGCCTGGCAGGGTGGCTTTAAGAGAAGGGGCTCACTGAGGGGAGACAAGATAAAGTGGGGATGGGTGGTGCCATGTGTCTCTAGTAACGCTGCTTGGTGCTGTGATGACATGGGCTTTTTCCTTCGCTTCCCCAGGACTTCAACAGACACCTGGATACGCTCACAGAGCACTATGACATTCCCAAAGTCAGCTGGACGAAGTAGCCTCCCACCGGAGCATGGGTTGGCACCGAGGGGAAACAGAAGGCCAGCTTGGGGTTATGCTTGGTGCCTTTGGTATTTTCTAGAACACTCTTACATACACCCTGCGTCTTCTGCTGAGACAGTGCTTTTCAAAGCAGTGTGCCCTCATTCTGGAACTTGATTAAAGTAAGACTTTTACTCTATTTTAGTTTCTCAGTAGCACATTGAAGATGAAGCTTTTTAGTTTGGACTGGAAATTATTGAGAGTTTTCCCAGAGATTAAGGTGGTTTTTGCGGAAGTATTTTTACACCCAAGTTGCATCTAACTCATGTTGACAGTCCACCAGCTGTCTCTGCCTGGAGGAAACTGTCCCCAGAGGAGAAGCAACGGACCCTCATGGGGCCCTGCCTGTGCTGCCCTTCCAAGTTCCCTCTAGCTTGGGGCTTATGCTCTTCCATCCAGGGCCTGGGGAAGCCATTTGCAGCTATGGCCTTCCGACTGCCTCCTCAGCCCCGCTGGCCAGGGAGGATAACTGCCCAAGGCAAGGATGGGATGAACGCCTTGCCCCTTTCTGAGCTGAGCTAGTGGCTGGCATGCAGCCTGTTCCCATTCCAGACATGTCAGGTGAGGTGTTGCCATGGCAGATATTGCTAGTCAAGTGCCACGTTCTTTGTAATGGAACCCAGACACTGCTTCCTGCCTCACTACCTTCACCGCTGAGCTCCAGACAGCCCCCAGTGTGTGCTCAGAGTTGGCACATCCATGAAACCTGTTTGGCATTCCCAGTCTTAAGGACGCCTCAGGGTAATGGACCCCGGACAGTGACCCACACAGACAGACAAGGGTGCAGTCCCAGGGGAGGACCAGGTTCCAGTGCTGCAGAGCCAGAGTCTTTGAGGGCCTGCATGTCCCCCCACTGCATGAGGATCGGACTGCATATGCTACTGGAAGAAATGGTCTCTGTTGATATACATCTGAAACAACAAATTCAGAAGAAAAAAATCTAAGTGTTGGGCTTGGGGCTGTCATATGTGAACTGCAGAATAAAGCAAAACCAGTTATTTAATATAAGTCTGAGTGTTTTAATTTTAAGTTGTTTATCACTACAAACTCTGTCTTGGATTTATTGCACACACAGGATGTTTGCTGCCAAACAACAATTTGCCCTCAATTTGGATAGAATTAGATGATGTGTCTTCACCTGTGGCTCATAACCCACCAAAGAGGTGACGTTCTGTCATGACCACTGTCATGACCATTAGGCAGCCTCCCATATTACCTGATGGAAAGGCACTTGCAGATATTTTTTTTAAAATATATTGATTTCTGAGAGGAAAGAAGAGGGAGAGAGAAACATCAATCATGAGATAGAATCATCGATCGGCTGCCTCCTGCACGCCCCCCACTGGGGATGTGCCTGCAACTCTGGCATGTGCCCTTGACCAGACTCAAATTTGGGACCTCTCAGTCCACCGGCCCACGCTCTAGCCACCAAGCCAAACTGGCAAGAGCACTTACAGATATTTTTTTTATCCACAAGCCAGTGGTTGGAGCCAGCATGTTGTGCTGTGAAAAGTCAGTATGTGGAAGATAAACATTCTAATTCTCCCTCCCTAACAAACTGCTCCAAAAATGAGTGGCTTAAAACCACAGGATTTCTCCCGATTCTGTTGATTTGTTGAGCTCAACTGGGTGGTTCTTCTGCTCCATGTGGTGTATAACTGTTGACTTGGCCTGGAATCAGAAAGTCAAAGGTGGCATCTTATCCTCGAGATTTCTCTTCATGTAGGCTATTTCATTGGACAACAAAATTTATGCCACCCAGTTTTTAACAGTGGCTCTCAAATTCTGCTGAATGTTAGACATTAAAAACCACTGATATTGGGGGGAGGAACTCTGTCAGATTTTCTATAGCTCCCCAAGTGACCCTAATATACAGCAAATTTTGAGAAACCTAGATTTACCACAATATTACTTAAAAATATATTTTTATTGATTTCAGAGAGGAAGGGAGAGGAAGAGAAACATCAATGATGGGAATAATTGATTGGCTGCCTCCTGCTGGGGATTGAGTCCACAACCCAGGCATGTGCCCTTGACTGGAATTGAACCCAGGACCTTTCAGTCTGCAGGCCAATGCCCTATCCATGGAGCCAAACCAGCTAGGGCCCACAATATTTCTTTTCCCCTGTGATGTTGCAGAGGTGAAATCTGGCTTATATATTTAAATATAAATGCCAAAGATGGAAGATGAGTCAAATTCCTCCACATAAGGAGGAAAAGTTACAAGTAATTTATGTGAAAAGTGTTTCTTCTAAGAAAACTAGAGGCCAAAAATGCACAAAATTTGTGCACTTGTCGGGGGGGTGGGGGGGGCTGTCCCTCAGCCCGGCCTGTGCCCTAACCCAGTCTGAGAGCCCTTGGGGGATGTCCAACTGACATCTTGGGCCCACTCCCCATGGGCATCCTTAGCACCGCCACTGAGGCGAGAGAGGCTCCCCTCACCGCTGCTGCACTCACCAGCCATGAGCCCAGCTTCTGGCCCACTGACCACCAGGAGGCAGCTCCTGTGTTGAGTGCCCTCTGGTGGTCAGTGCCCTTTATAGTGACGGGTTGTTTTGTGGTTCAATTTGCATATTAGCCTTTCATTATATAGGATGGGCTGCATTGTCCAATAATGCTTCCCAACCAGGATTTACTTAGCAGTGCTCAAATATTCGAGTGTTCTCTGGATTTTCCTGCCTTTACATCTCTATCCTAAACAGAGGATATATTGCAAAAGCCAACTTTCAAGATCCAGATGGAGATGGGAAGGGGGGATCAAAAGTGAGAAGCAGGCTACCCTGGTCAGATGTTCCGTTGGTTGGATTGTCAACCTTTAACCAAAAGGTGGTGGTTTTGATTACCTGCTAGGGCACATCCCTAGGTCAGGGCTCGGGGGAGGGGGGGGGGAGGGGTGGTGTGTAGCAACCGATAAATATTTCTCACTTCAATGTGTCTCTCTCCCTTCTCTAAAAATTCAGTAAAAACATAGCCTCAGGTAAAGGATTAAAAAATCGAGAGGCAGGCAGTGCAAGTAAATGGTTCTAATACTGCAGGATTGGGATCCCCAAGGCACTATGATGGTCTGTTTGGCACAGAATGCAAGTCTTTTTCAAAGCCCAAATGTTCATAAAAGCAAATGAGATACAATTCAATTGACTAATCAGTGGCCACTAAATACAGAAATAAAAACTGTGCTTTTTGACCAGATGCAACGGGGTGTGGTTTTTCAGATCATTCCAGGCAATAAACAGACATTCTTGTTCACTGACTAATGCTGACACTAACAGGTGTCAGGTAGTGACTGTTAGGCTTGATTGCTATTCAGGATTTGTTTGCCCTCTTTCCAAGTACCACCACCTCCCCATTAATGTGTATCTAGTTGGTGACTGCATATACAGTATATTTGTTTCTAGACTCCCCCATCAGAATAGGTGTTCCATAGGGCTGGGCCCCAGGTGGCTCGATCCATCAGGGGGATCTCTCACCTAACAGCCCACAGGATGCAGTTTCCAGTGGCCAAGTCTTCCACAGCAGTTCGAGTGTGCCAGTATCAGTTGGCTCCGCCCGGCCCCGCCCTTCTAGGTGTTACTTCCGGGACGCTTTAGGTGGGAGCGTGAAATAAGGTCTCATCTAGCGTACTGCGCCTGCGCACCCTGCGCCTTGCGCCTGTGCGTTCCTGGCAGCTCCTCCCCCTACCGGACATAACGGTCCGCGCGCGGCTCCCAGGACCGGAAGTGGAGTCGAACCGTCTCAGGGTGTGCCTGGCCCTACTCAACGCCCGGCAGTTCTAGCCGTCGCCGCCGCCCTCGGCCACTGCCGAGGCTTCACGCAACCGCCATGTCCGCCAGTGCCGTCTACGTGTTGGACTTGAAGGGCAAGGTACGGAGGGCTCCCCACCCTCCCTGTTGCCAAGCAACCGGAGAGTTCCTCGCCCCTGGGGACCCACCCTGTTAACTGGGTAATCAGCCAGGGGGACCCACCCTGGCCCTAAGCAAAGAAACCAGTAGGTCTCACCCAGTTATATAACCAATATAATAGCCAATCTGCCCGACCCTGCTTCCCCTGTGGGCGGGGGCTCAGGCTTCGGCTGGGGCCGCGGGGAGCGTGAACCGCCGCCGGCTGTGGAGCCAGGAGCCCAGCAGCTGCGCGACCCGGGGCCGGAGGTGGGGAGGCGTGTCGCGGCCGGTGTGCCCTCGGGCCAGTCCCGCCCTCTAGGCGTGCGGCAGCTTGTCTTATCCGGCTGTTTCTCTGTGGGAGTCCCTGTGTGAACTTTTTAACGTTCGTGGTGACTTTCAGTTACCAGGGTTGGGTGAAGTGGGTGGGTGGCGGGAGACCCCTTTCACAGAAGGAAAAAACTGAGGCACGGAGATGTTCCGCGAACCAACCGAGGTCACGCTGGTCACAAAGGAGTGGCAGGTGTAGGAGTTGAACCCAGAACCATCTGTTCATTCAGCTGATAATTGGAGGAGCACCTCCCTAGGTGCCAGGCAGCGTGCTAAGCCTTGGGCTGCCCTGAGTGAGCAAAATCAGAATCAGGGGCCGCCCTTCTGGAGCTCACAGCCTGGGGGAGAGCGACACAGATCTCTAAAAGCACAAATAAATATAAATGGCAGTAGTGCTGCGGTGAGGATGTAATAGGGAGACTCAGCCGGGGCTGGGGTAAGGGAGGGCTTCCTGGAGGGAATGACAGATCCGGCGGAAAGGTGGAGGAGTTGGACATAACTAGGACCCAGGTGCCTTGCCCAGGGGTATCTGCAAAAGCTGCTTAAAGGAGGAGCACCAAGAACAGGTCCAGCAACATTAAACTTGACGTCCCACACTGATCAGTGAGACAACTGTGAGTGTCCAGCCTAGGTGGGGCAGGCAGAAGTTAGCTTAGAAGCAGGGGGGAGGGACGCTGAAGTGGCTGCTGCTTCCTGCCCCACTCCTCACCCCAGCTCTTTCCCAGAGTTCCTTGAGTGGGTTGTCTGCCTTGGATGCTACCCAGAGTCAACAGCCAGTGATTCCCAGCGTGGGACTTCCTTCCCAGGCCTTCTTAGAGGCAAGGAAAGACACAAGGCTCGCCAAGGCTAGGCAGGTGCCAGGTGGGTTCCTAAGTCCCTGGCAGCAACAGTTCTTGCTTCTTCCACCTTGGCCCGGTGTCCCCAGAGATCGCACAGGCTGCCTGTCACAGCTCACTTGTTCCCTCAGCAAACATTTCAGCAGAACCTAACATACACCAGGCCCTGTGCTAGCCATCTCACCGTGACTGTGCAGTTAGGGCTCTGGTCAAAACTCTGCTGCTCTGGGATGTGACCTTGGGCAAGTGCCTTCACCACTCTGGGCCCACAGTCCATACCAGCCAACATGGGCCTGAGGTCTGGCAGGGAAACACACGGATCCACATGGTCACAGCCAGGTAGCCATCAGGGCCTGGCCAAGGCCCTAGGTAATGCAGTTAACCAACCTCAAGTTTGGCTGGAGAGAGTTATGGTGCTTCCAGGAGGAGCTAGAGAGGTGACCAGCGTACAGTCAGGTGGACAAGAAGGCATTGCAGCGGGTTTCAGTGGTGAGGAGCAGCCGAAATTTTTAATGCTAGTGGGTGGAGTTTGGCACGAGGAGGGCTCTGAGTGTTGATGATGTCCAGACAGAAAAGAGGGCCAGAGGGGACCGTTTTGATCTCATGAGGGAGGAGCCACAGTGAGGGGATTATAACTCAGGAAAGCGTGGTCAGTCCTGCCTTGTAGAAGCTCTCAAGGCAGCCATGGGCTTCCCTCCCATCCTTAGCAGCCATCTGTCATTTATTTTTCCACATTCCACCAACTGCAAGTTTTGAAAGTTTGCCTCCTGCATACACTGCATTTAATCCAAAATAAGGTCATGGCATATCAAGAAGTTCACAACCACACATCCGTCTGCCAGCCAGAGCCTCTGATCCTGAAGGAAGCCAGCATGGCCATACGTAGCTAACAGAGAGCGCTCCACAGCTCTTCTCAGCCTTTATCTTTCTTGCTTCTCTGCAGCTCTGACACCACTGCCATTCACTTGTCAGCAGGCTTCCGCTGGCCTCCAGGTTGCTGTACTCTCTGTTTCCCTCCTGTTTCTCTCACTGGCTGCCGGCCCTTCCTCTCCTGCCCTTCCCTTGGATTCAGCCCCTCTGGCTTGAAATGATAAAGACAATGATTTATGACATTGTGCCAATGCCTCTCAAATTTGTACTGTCCTCCAGAGCACTTATCTGGAGACGCACTGGCCTGCGGGACACCATGGAGGTCCCACAGCAAGTGCAAACTCGGCATTTCCCAAAATGACCTGCTCTCTCTCCATCTCAGTGAGTGACGCTGCCCTCCATGGGCCTGTCCACATCAGAGATCTGGGCACTATCCTGGCCTCCTTTTTCTCACCTCCACATTCACTGCACAGACACGTACTGAGCAGCTACGTGGGCCAGGCTCTGATCTGGATGGAGGGACACGGCCATGGACGAGTTGGAAGTGGTCGCTGTTCTCTGGGAGTGTTGGACTTTGGTAGAGCGACAGGCAATAAATGAGGCACAAATAAATGCAGCTGAGATGTGGGCAGTGAAGGTAAACTCAGCCTGGGGGTAAAGAGGGATGGGATATGATTTTTCAACCAGAGCAAGCAGGATGGATTTCTTGGAGAAGGTGCCATCTGCTTGAGAAAGGAGAAGAGCCAGGCCAGGGCATTCTGGGCAGAGGGAACTGCATGTGCAAAGGCCCTGAGGCAGGAGCAGGTGTGGATTGCTCAGAGACCAAGTCTGACTTCTTGGAGGGTGTGTAAAAGTTTCAGCAGAGGAAAGACCAAGTCTGACTTCTGTTTAAGAAGACCCATGGACCATTTGAGATCTTTTAGTCATGTTATCAGTTTGGCTCAAATAAACTCATAAAAATCCCCCCCCCCCCTTTCCAAAAAAAAGAAGACCCTTCTCGCTCTTTAAGGGGAAGGAATTAGGGGTTAAGAGCAACAGCCAGGGTAGGAGATTGTCACCTCAGTGGTGCCTTCTCCTCCCTTTGTCCTCTTATTTGGCATCCAGCTTAGAGGTTATCCTTACTCCACCTAACCAGTGCTCCCAAGTCCCCCCATGGGCTGTGTCCTCTACACCATGGCCTCAGCCACACTGGTTCCTCTGCTTATATCCTGCCCGTTCCCTCAGACCTCAGTTTGAAGGTCAGATCCTCAGGAATGCCCTCAGTTGCCCCAAGCAAGTATCCCAGTGTAGGGACTGTTTGTCTTGGTCATGTGTGTGTCCCTAGGCCAGCACACTGCCACCTAGAAGGACACATGGTATGTGCTTGTTGATTGAGCAGACCTCTGTTCATCCCTGATGAGGGTGAGCAAATAAGTTGCCCCTCCTCTCTCTGAGCACTCTGGGGGCCATGGCTCCATGCTAGATCCCACAATTTGGTTGTCTGGGGAGGAAAGTAGCCTTGGGAAGCTCAGAAAAACAATGTGTTTAGCAAGCAGAAGTGGGCCTGCAGGGACTGAGAAATGGGGCTAGAATCCTGACTCAGCTTTGCTTGTTGTGTGACCTCAGGCAGGTAGCACCACCTCTCCTGCATAGACTGCACCTAATCCAAGATAAGGTCATGGCACAGCAATCTCTGAAAAAATAACAGTTCTCCCTCACGGCGGGGCAGTGTAGGAGGCAGTATACACTCTTGGCAAGGAGTATCTGCGGGAGTACACTGGAGTCCCTTAGCGTGGTCCGGGTGCCCACAATCTCACCCACTGGTTGCTGGGTCCCTAAGAGGCCTGAGACTTGCCCACAGGCCAGGAAAGAGAAACTGGGAAAGGAAGGTTTTCTCCCTCACCCCTCCGGCTTGAAACGATAAAGACAATGATGTATGTTATGTAACCTCAGGGTCTGAGGCAGGCAGTTCCCAGGTTGGTCAGCTCAGTGATGATCTCAGCACATTTCTGAATTTTGCAGTTGGCTGTCCTCGTGAGCCCTCGAGAGTGGCAGCGGCTCTAGGTGGACTCTCCAAAGCCTCACACCTCCTTTTAATTCCTTCAGGGAGGTGTAACTTACATGTAACAAACTGGCTTATTTAAAGCCCAGAAGTTGAAGAGTCAGGCATTGTATATACCCTTGGAGCCATAAACACACATTCTGTCGCCCCCAAAGATTCCTCATACCCCTCTAGTCCAGCCTATTTCCCAGGATTTTATAAAAGGGGAATCGTGCAGGATATGCCATGTATTTGCTGGTTTCCACTTTTTTTTTTTTTTTTGTACATATAAATTTTTTACTTTTTATTTTAAAAAAATCTTTATTATTGAGAGTATTATAGATGTCCCCTTTTTCCCCCCTCATTGTCCTCCTCCACCTGGTTCCTGCCCCAGGCCTTCACTACCCTATTGTCTGTGTCCATAAGTAATGTATGTATGCATATGAGATCTTTGTTTAATCTCTTCCCACCCCACCCTCACCCTACTTCCCTCTGAGATTCGTTAGTCTGTTCCATGTTTCCATGCCTCTGATTCTATTTTATTCATCAGTTTATTTTATTCATTAGATTTCTCCTTTGTTTATTTTGATTTTTAGATTCAATTGTTGATAGATATGTATGTATTGCCATTTTATTGTTCATCTTTTTTACCTGTCTCCTCTTCCTCCTCCTCTTCCTCTTCCTCTTCTTCTTCTTCCTCCTCCTCCTCCTCCCATCTTCTCTTTCTCTTCTTTCACCAAAACCGGTTTGGCTCAGTGGATAGAGCGTTGGCCTTCGGACCGAAAGGTCCCGGGTTCGATTCCGGTCAAGGGCATGTACCTTGGTTGCAGGCACATCCTCAGTAGGGGGTGTGCAAGAGGCAGCTGATTGATGCTTCTCTCTCATCGATGTTTCTAACTCTCTATCCCTCTCTCTTCCTCTCTGTAAAAATTCAATAAAATATATTTTAAAAAAAGAATATCTTTCAACATTTCATGTAATACTGGTTTGGTGGCGATGAACTCCTGTAGCTTTTTCTTGTCTGGGAAGCTCTTTATCTGAATGATAAAGATTGTGACCACAGGCAGGTAGCACCACCTGCAATTCTAAATGATAGCTTTGCTGGCTAGAGTAATCGTGGTTGTAGGTCCTTGCTGTTCATCATTTTGAATATTTCTTGCCACTCCCTTCTGGCCTGCAAAGTTTCTGTTGAGAAATCAGCTGACAGTCATATGGATGCTCCTTTGTAGGTAACTAACTGCTTTTCTCTTGCTGCTTTCAGGCAGTTCTGAATGATGGTTTTTCTGTATTTTAGTTATAATTTTGATGTGGTTGTAGGAAGCGATGAGTATAGGTGTTTACCTATTTTTTTTCGTGTACAAATAAGTATTTTCCATTTGCTGGTTTCTTTCACACGGCCCAGTCATCCTGAGGTTCCTTCATGCTGTTGCATGTGTCATTTCACTCCTTTCCATGGCTGGGGAGTGTCCCATGGTGTGGATGGATATGGTTTGTGTCCCTGTTCACATGTTGAACGACATTAACATTATCTCTAGCCTGGTTTCATTTGAAATAAAGTTGCGTGAACATTCGCTTCTGAATCTTCACATGGACAGTATGGTTTAATTTCTCTTGTGTAAAAACATAAGAGAGGAATAGCTGGGTCACAAGCTGGTTTAGCTTTGTGAGAACCTGCCAAGCTTTATTGAAATGGTGGTTCTATTCTTTGTTCCCATCAGTGGTGGGTGAGGACATATCTAAACCCACAGGCTATGAAAGAGAGATGCCAGGAGAAGGGCTTCTCCTTTTCAGGCTAAGGAATGGGGGGGGAGGGTGGTTGGGTTCCAGTAGATGTGAGCGCTCAGCAGTGTCCCCCAAACAGGTACCCTGACCCAGGCAGAAGAGCAGGGTGAATTCGCACAAGAAAGGCTCTGAGAAGGTCTGCAGTGAGAGTCTATGGAATATTGTTGAACCTGGTGTCACCCAAGCAATTCAGTCCTGGGCCCTTGCCCCCACATCGCCTTCCACCCTCCCCTGCAGACACCGTGCTGGTCCCTGTAGAAGTTCACTTGGGAAACACTCTCCTGGAGGAATTCCCTGGGGTATGGCGATCAGATGGCCGCCAGCCTGTGCTCTTTGATGGATGGGGCGTGATGGGGGCCCCCCGAGGGAGGGAAGCTGGCATTTCTCACCCTGCCCCAGGCACTGGAATTGAGCGTCTTCTCTCCCTCCGCCCCGCCAGGTGCTCATCTGCCGGAACTATCGCGGTGATGTGGACATGTCGGAAGTGGAGCACTTCATGCCCATCCTGATGGAGAAGGAGGAGGAGGGGATGCTGTCGCCCATCCTGGCCCATGGGGGCGTCCGCTTCATGTGGATCAAGCACAACAACCTGTACTGTACCCCTCTGCAGGAGCTCCTGGGGGATCCTTTGTGGGCATGTGTGTATGCGCCTGTGTGCTCACGCATACAGCAGAGCTGCCAGCGCCTGCCCTGGCACGGCCCAGAGTGCCCAGGCAGCCTTCCTGCAGCTCCCTGCTGCCTGAGGAGATGGGCAGAGAACACACAATGACAAGGGTGATGGCTGTTAGAAGAGGGGGTGTGATGGGACCTCACCTGATCTGGGGATCCAGGAAGACTTCCCTGAGGAGGTGGCATTCTGGAGGAGACCTGCAGGCAGGCTAGGCACCTGCCAGCCAGAGGAGTAGTCAGACTCGAGGAGCACTAGGCCTGAGCGAAGGCTCTGCAAGGAGGCAGGGCTCATTCCAGAAGCTGCGGGGCGGGGGGGGGGGGGGGGGGGGGGGGGGGCGGCACTCGGGTGGTTGGATGATGGGGAAGGGATGTGTGGGAGGAGTCAGCAGGGTGCATACTTCAGGGTCTCACAGGACCTCACCTTAAATGTGAGGAGAAGTGAACAGCTAGGGCACGGCTCAGGGAGGCTCCAAGCCCAGGATCTGTGAGGTGACAGCTTAGGCTTGTGAATGCTCCTTAACCACAGCTGCCATGCAGTGGTCGCCACTTCCAAGAAGAATGCGTGCGTGTCACTGGTGTTCTCTTTCCTCTATAAGGTGGTGCAGGTGAGTCAAGCCACAGGGACCACAGAGGGCTGTGGGTCACCCTGATCCACCCCATACCAGCCATTCAAGAGCGATAGAGCAGCTCCAGCTGCCCCATGAATGGGATTCGTCGCCTTAGTTATCCCCACTCTCCCCCCCCCCCCCGGTGAGGAAAGTGAACAGAAGGTGAGGCTCAGGGCAGGGGTGCCCCCTAGCCCGGAGGAACGAGTATGCCCCCAGCTGGCTGTGGAACGGTAGAGGCTAGCCGGCTGAGAGTTAGGGGTTGGAGAGGTGAGGTAATTGGGAGAAGGGCAGAGCCAAGCTCTGCTCAGAATCCCTTCAGGGCTCTCGCAGCAGAGGCCCGCCATGGAGAGAGCTGACACGCCAGGCCCAGGGTGCCAGCGAGATGGGGAGGCAGAGAGTGGCACGTGCAAATGCCCTGGGGCAGGTGTGCACGTGGTGCGGACAGGGAGCATCAGGCAAGCCAGCGTGCCCAGGACATAGGGAATGAGGGACAAAGTCGAGCTGAGGTCAGCAAAGTTGTTAGGGCTAGACCATAGTGGGGTGTGGAGAGCATACAGGCCTGGTGAGTTTAGATTTCATTCCAAGTGTGATGAGAGATGCTGGGAGGGCTTTAAGCAAAGACTGTTCAGACTGATCTAAGTTAAGATGATCAATCTCTGGCCGAAACTGGTTTGGCTTAGTGGATAGAGCGTCAGCCTGCGGACTGAAAGGTCCCGAGTTCGATTCCGGAAAGGGCATGTACCTTGGTTGCAGGCACATCCCCAATAGGGGGTGTGCAAGAGGCAGCTGATTGATGATTCTTTCTCATCGATGTTTCTAACTCTCTATCCCTCTCCTTTCCGCTCTGTAAAAAAATCAATAAAATACATTAAAAAAAAAAGATGATCAATCTCTGGCTGCAGTAGAGAAAGAATGTGAGGGCAGCAGGGGGGCCAGTGAGGAGGTCACTGCAGCTTGTAGAGGAGAAATGGAGGGGCCAGGCTGAAGCTGGGGTTTGGGGTGAGAAAGTGGAGCGGGGGACCCAGGAAACCTGGGGTGGGCCAGGAAAGCGTTCATACCTCCAGTGGTACCAGGTGCAGCTAGCTCAGGAGCCACTTGTGCTAAGCCTTCAGGCGCAGTGCCAGTCTGACAGTGAGGGCACGCAGTGTGTGAGGGGAGAGCAAGGAGTGGGCTTTCATTCCTGAGTGGTGGTGCTGTGCAAGCAAGGCCTGGGAACGGGGAAGTGGGAAGGAGGAAGTTCTACTACCTGGAGGGTCTGGCAGTTCTCTCTGCTTTGGTGTTAGTGCTAATGAAACATTTCTCCTGGGCATTCCTTCCTTGAGCCTTATAACTTCCTGCTGAAACGGAGAGGATGTATCTGCCTGCACAGCTATACAGACTGGAAACTCAGGGAGGCCGGAAGATCCAGAAGCATCTCTTGTTCTGTCCCCAGTGGCTCTTGCCTCTCACTTGAGTCACCTCTGACTCAGAGGCCAAGGATGACAGTTACAGTGAGGACTAAAGAGAAGCTGGGGAGGGGCCGCAGGGATGCAGATGTGGGGCTTCTGACCAGGCCTCTGAGGATGCCTGCATCCCCTAGCCTGGCTCCCGCCTCTCAGGTAGCCACAGTGCTGCCCTCATTCCCCGAGTCAAAGGTCTAGTCTGTAGTATCTTGCCAAGCCTAGAAAGTGGTCAAGTGCAGGCGTGGGCACAAAAGGGTTGTTATCTGTGGGTCTCGGTGTGAAAGGCAAATATATTTCTCGTCCTTCCCTCACCCATTTGCCTGTCCCCACTGCCTACATCGTAGGTGTTCTCAGAGTACTTCAAGGAGCTGGAGGAGGAGAGCATCCGCGACAACTTTGTCATCATCTATGAGCTGCTGGATGAGCTCATGGACTTTGGCTACCCCCAGACCACGGACAGCAAGATTCTGCAGGAGTGAGTAGGCAGAGTGGGGGTCTGGGGGTCACGGCAGGGGGCAGTTTGGGATCCTCTCCTGTGCAGCAGCCCTGCATAGGATGTGCATTTTCCTGTTGCTGGGTCTTTATATTCCACCCACAAAGGTGCACTAACTGCTTGGTTGTTAGGTGTCAGTCACCTGCCTTTGTTTTTTCTTGTCACAAAGGAGGCTATGATGAAATATCTCCTTTTCCGGAATCCTGCTCTTCAAATAATGGCCACTGTGGATTAAGCACTTCTTGTGAACTGTGCCCTGTGTGAGCACTTAGCATCCACTCCATTCACAGTCAGAGGCACTGTCTCCCATTGTACCAGGGAGCAGAAGGACTCTCAGAGAAGCCATGTAACTTGCCCACGTCTCGTACCTGTTGGTCCCCAGGTTACTTGACCAGGGGGTTAATGCCCCTCTGCACCCAGTAGTGGTTTTCCTCACCACCACTGTTTCCTTCAAACCGCCCCCCCCCCCCCCAAATGAATGTTCAGTGCTCATGGTAATGAGTTTTTTGGGCTTTTTGAAATTTAAGATATTCCTGAATTAAACAGCCCACAGATGAAACCAGAGCCTGCCTTTTCTGGAGCCTGCTACAGTGAGGGGCTGTTCTTAAGAATGTGGGTGCTTGACTGCCTAACACTGAGCGCGGTCTCACAGGTACATCACTCAGGAAGGCCACAAGCTGGAGACGGGCGCCCCGCGGCCCCCCGCCACCGTCACCAACGCCGTGTCCTGGCGGTCCGAGGGCATCAGGTACCGGAAGAACGAGGTGTTCTTGGACGTCATTGAATCTGTCAACCTCTTGGTAGGCTGCTTTGTTTTTTAAAATGTTGTCTTCTCCATGATTGCTGTAAAAGCTACTAGACTTTTAAAATTAGCAAAGTCCTGAGAAATAGTTAGGTTCTGTATGATCAGCAGGATTCAGCAACATGAGCTTGTTTTATCTTCGTGAGCTTTTGTTCTTACTTAGAATAAAGATATGGACGTTGTTTTAGAAAAGAAGAATAAAGTTACAATAGAAAGTGAAGGCTCCATAATCAGAAAGCCCCTCACTTAAGAATTTGTTGACATCCTTTGTGACTTTATTCTACAGATATATCTGCCTGCTACTTTCTAGCAGCCTGGGGCTTCCCTTTTTTATTCTGGGCTCTAGAGCCCCGAACTGTCACCCTGTCTGCGCCTGAGCCTGAATCCTGGGCTTGCCCCACCTCTTGGAATAGCAGCTACATTGCATTGCCTGGGGCCTGGGACGTGAGAGAGCAGAAGTGGGGGAAGTGAGTGGTAGGAAATTCCCTTGAGGCAAAGCTAGAGGTTTCTGAGATCTCCGTCTGCATCTGGTGGTGCTCACTTCTACTTCCAGGCTCCTCCCACTTCCACATGGGGGAGGGGCGCTGCTCCTCCTTGGCTGCCCCTGGTTCTCCTGCTGAACTTCCCAGTCTTCCCGCGTAGTTGCCAGTGCCTCGTGCCCAGGTTTTGTAGTTGAATTTGGTGACAGAGAAAGAATGCAAACCAACTCCTCCTCACATGCACGCTGCCGTCTCCTCACTGGAGATTGTCCCGCCTCTCCTGTTTGGGTGTCCGTGATGACTGGGCCAGGCCGTCATTGGCTTACTCAGGTACACCCATTCTGGTTATGACAGACAGTGGAGAAATGAGCGTGCTCCGCATCCTCAGACGTGCATTTTGGACATCTCCCTGACCTGGGCATGATTTCTGAAGGTTGAGTTCCCAGATGTGGCATTGTTGAGAGAGCTTCCCAAAGAGATGCTCCCAGCAGACTTAATATGACTGTTTGATTTCAGAGAGGAAAGGAGAAGGAGAGAGAGAAAGAAACATCAGTGATGAGAGAGAATCATCGATCTACTGGGGATTGAGCCCACAGCCTGGGCATGTGCTCTGACCAGAAATCCAACCACGACCTCCTGGCTCAACCTCTGAGCCACCCCAGCCAGGCTGCCTTCTTTCTTTTTAAGCCAAGGGGCAAGATGGTAGCCTTGCTAATAACTGTGTTCCCTCCTGCCTGAGACCTTGGTCTGACATTTTATTGAAAACAAAACATCTGGTTCTGGGAGGAAAAGCAAATCCCCAGAGCACTTTGTAACGATCTCCGTGGGAAAGCCTGAGCCTTCAGAGGGTCTGGGGGTACGTTTGGGGGCTGTGCCTGAAGAACCCTGCTCCTCCGTGCACAGAGGCAGGTGTGGGCATCTAGGCACGTTAGAATGCCTTGTTCCTAAGTGTGTTTGCAGATCTGGCAGCTGAGTCAACATTGGCCTCCAGATGCCGGAAATCTGGATGGAGTGGAGCACTCAGCAGCTGATCCCTCAGCAAACATCTCTGTCCACCTGGGGAAGGACTGGCTTTGGGCCACCTGTCACACCTCAGCTGGAAAGGGCAATTTGTCGTGATTGCCGCCCATAGGGCCAAGATTAGCCTCTGGCTTTGTGGCTTTTTGTCTCCACTTCCTGGCCCGCCCTCCCAGCAATCATGACTTCCTCTGGTTAGTTACAGAAGGCTCTGCAGTCTCACCTCCCCAAGGAGGAAACAGCCCCCCAGAGAAGGGGACCTAGGGGCAGGCACAGTCTTGGGGAGCACGGGGGGCCATGGATTGAGGCAGGTGGGAGTAGCTCCCAGCCAGCCTGCAAAGAGGACCCACATCTGCCGCGCTTGCTGAGAGCCTCCTGTCCTCGGGCGCAGTCTCCCTGCTGACCCGGCAGGGAGCAGCTCGGCGTAGCCCCTCACCGGAGAGGGGATGAGACAGGCGGACAGGCTGGCGAGAGGCCGGGGAGGTGGCAGCTGCTGGCCCTGTGAGGTCAGGGAGCTGCCTGCTGGGATGAGGACAAGGAGAGGCAGAGTGGCCAGATATAGCAAGTGATAGAGGTGATGGAGCTAGAACCTGTAGGGCCTTCTGTCCTGCTTGGTGCCTTTCTCACGGTCTTCAGCCACTCGGCACCTCATGTCTCTGTTCCCGTTAGAGGCAAAGGCTTTCGTGTGGGCATGTGGTGCTGTTGGCGCACTCATTAGGCAGGACAGAATTTCCTCTCCTCTGCAGAGACAGGCAGCTCGGGCCCTCCACCGTGTGAGTGTGGCTGGCGCCTGGAGGAGTGGCCCCGGTGCCTCAGACTCGCTGTTGGTATCCGTGTGGCCTTGTGCAGAGGGACACTCTGGGGTGGTGGTTAGGGCTGTGGCTGTTCTGTTCTGTTCCTTTGGTACATGACTGCCCCCTCTTTGTCTCAGTGTCCTTTTCTCTAACGCGGACTCAAGGAGATTAGCTCCAGACCCGCTTGGTTGCTCAGTGGTTAGAGCATCAGCCCACACACCACAGGGTTGCAAGTTCAATTACCAGTCAAGGGTATGTACCTGGGTTGTAGGTTTAATCCCCGGCTCAGGTCTGGGTATGCAGGAGGCAACCAATCAATGTGGAAGGCAACCAACTGATGTATCTCTCTCACATTGATGTTTCTCTCTCCCCCTCCCTCCCTTCCACTCTAGATAGATAGATTGATAGATAGATAGATAGATAGATAGATAGATAGATGAAGAAGGGAGATACCTCCCGGTTGGCATATGAGTTATAGGGTTGCTCATGCACACTGTTGATGGGTACAGGAGGGTGCCTGGTGCAGACACTGTTCGATCCGTGTGAACCCCGATTCCCTCTGTTATTTTGGACCCGTGGTTGTCAGACTTCAGGGCAGCCCGGGGAGCAGGGAGGGCCCAGGGCTTAGGAAGCTCCATCTTTAACGAGCCCTCAGGGATGTGAGCCTGGTGGCCTCCCACATGGAGGAGCTGCCAGATTTACCCCGAGGCACTGGGGCTCCTGAGAGGGCCCGGTGCATGCGAGAGCCTGAGACAGCATGCCAGGCCCGGTCACCAGGCTTGTCCATGAGGGAGGGGCTCCTGTGGTCCAAGGCCTCGAGGGTAAGACCCAGAGTGTCTGCCTCACTGACCCTGGCACGAGGGCCGGATGGGACGGATGAGGCTCCCAGCTCAGGAGACAGGAGAAGGGCATCGAGAACGGCGGTGGCAGGAGAGTCCTGCACATGGTGGGGGACAGCAGCCGGCGAGCTGGGACCTCCCCTCACACACCCCTACCCCTCCCACAGGTCAGTGCCAACGGCAACGTCCTGCGCAGCGAGATCGTGGGCTCCATCAAGATGCGGGTCTTCCTCTCGGGCATGCCCGAGCTGCGCCTGGGCCTCAACGACAAGGTCCTCTTCGACAACACAGGCCGTGAGTACCGGCCCCGGGGCTGCGCTCAGAGCTGAGGGAAGGTCACCGAGTGAAGGGACACGAGATCCCAAGCACCTGGAAATGCTTTCACACCGTTTACACGACAGCTATGAAAATTAATCTAAAAAATTAATGATAACCTAAAATTAATGCGTAATAAATTAATAGGAGGGACCTGGCCTAGAAGTAGAACTTCCTGTGTGGGGCAGGGCCAGAGCAGCCTCAGGGGTCCAGACTGTTGGCGCTTTGTGTTTGCCAACTGGATCACCCACCTCCCGGTTGCCACAGGCCCAGCAGCGGGAGCAGTGCCCGCCTGGTCAGTCACATTCATGGGGCCTCTCAGGCATTCGAATGCCCATCAGGGCAGCTCCTCTGGGGCTGGATTTGACCCACACAGCTCTCTGGGGTGGGAAACCAAGGCAGGACTCCAGAACCCACGGGGTCAATGGGGCCAGAGCCTTCGGAGCCCCGAGCTATCATCATCATCACACACACACACACACACACACACACAGCTGGGTTTGTTAGTCATTCAACAAACATATCCCAAGCAGCCATCTTCCCTGGTGACGTGGTGTGAACCAGGCCAGCCAGCCCTGCCCTCAGCATGAGCCCAGGGTCGGGATGTGAAGGGGGGCCTCCATGTGGGCGAGGAGGGATGGGGGTGGGGTGGAGGGTTGTCTCAGAACCAGGTCCCTTTTGGTGTTCGTGGCCCAATATGCTCTCGCAGATTTGGGGCAGCTCTGCTCTGCCAGGGTGGGCCCGGGCCGTGGGAGCATTGCTGAGTGCCCAGAGTCCTTTTCCCTCCCCCCTTTAGGCGGCAAAAGCAAGTCCGTGGAGCTGGAGGACGTGAAGTTCCACCAGTGCGTGCGGCTCTCCCGCTTTGAGAATGACCGCACCATCTCCTTCATCCCGCCCGACGGCGAGTTCGAGCTCATGTCCTACCGTCTCAATACCCACGTGCGTGCGCAGGCTCCTCTCCCCAGAGCTGGCTCCATGGGGGGGGGGGGGGGCGGGTCCTGTCTCCTTCCTGTGGGTGGAGCAGTCCCTGTCCAGGGCGAGGCTCGGGTCCATGAGGTGACACTCAGGGTGGGCACGGGGACCCTGTGTTTGAAGACCCAAACTTTGGGAGGGGCCAGGCTGCTATCACTGCTCCTTCTGGAACCCCCACCAGTGAGGGTCTCTGCATTTTCACAGAGGCCCTGGCTTCTCCAGACCTGGGTCTCTGTCCTGGCTTACCTGGTGCAGCCGGACTCCTCCTAGGGCCCCGGGCAGCATGTGTCGCGCTCACACCTGGTGGACGATCCTTGCCCTAGGCCGCCTCCCCTCAGGGAACGGGGTTTCCTCAAACAGCCAGTGAGTGCCCTCTCCACTCTCCCCACAGGTCAAGCCCTTGATATGGATCGAGTCAGTGATTGAGAAGCATTCCCACAGCCGCATCGAGTACATGATCAAGGTGGGTGTTTGTCGTGTGGACAGTCAGCCTGGGGACGGGACAGTCCTTCCTGGTGAGGGTGTTTCTGTGTCTCTGGCCTGTCCAGGGCCTTTGGCACAGTTCTAACACGAGGCTGGGGCTGCTGTGGGCTCAGTGACTCCATCCCAGGGAGTGAGGCCTGTGGCTGTCATCCTTGCTGCCTCACTGTGAGCTCAGATTCAGGAGTGGGCCGGGGCACAGGGGAGACACACTGCCCAGGTACTGGGCATGGCCATCATGTCAGTGGCCACATGTCGGGCATCCAGGAAGGCTACTGCCTGCCAGACGAGCTCTCCTGCTACTTAGTGGCCAGCCCTGGCCAGCTGCGGGTCACAGACCTGGTCCCGGCAGGCCAGGGCTGGGACAGAGGGAGGGATGGGGAGCCCTGAAGGCCAATAGAATAAGAAGGTAGAAATTGAATTTTCAAAATCAAGCATAGGGGGACTCTTAGGGGGTTGGGGTCAGCTTGGTGGAGCGTCCCATAGACCAGGCCAAGGGCTGCAGGGTGGGTGGAGGCTGGGCCGTCCCCCTTTCACCTTTTACAACCTTGACCATGTGGGCCTCTTCTTTAGGCCAAGAGCCAATTCAAGCGGCGGTCAACAGCCAACAACGTGGAGATCCACATCCCTGTGCCCAATGACGCCGACTCGCCCAAGTTCAAGACAACGGTGGGGAGCGTCAAGTGGGTCCCTGAAAACAGCGAGATCGTGTGGTCCATCAAGTCCTTCCCAGTAAGCTCTGTTCTCAGCGGGGTGCCCCCTCCAGACTTCCACCCACATTCCACATGCTCCCTGTGGCCTGCAGCTGTGGGACACCCCCAAACCTTGGGACAGGGCACAGGCTAGGATCCCCACCTGGAGCTTCTGGAGGGTCCGGAGGGGGCGAGGAGCTGAGGAGCTGGCTGGACAAGGAGGGAAAATGAGCCTCTGGGAAAGCAGCGGCTGGCTCTCAGAGGCTGGCTCAGCCTTGTGGGCCCCTCACCACCTTCCTCTTCAGCATCAGTAAAGAGCCCTCTCTTCCCTCCCTCCCTCTTTCCCTTCTTCCCTCCCTCCCTCCCTTCATCCTTTCCCTTCCTCCCTCCCTCCCTCCCTTCCTCCTTCTTTCCCTTCCTCCCTCCCTCCCTCCCTTTCCTCCTTCTCTCGGACACTGTGGTGGGAACAGGCTGCCTTGAGGCCAGAGCTGCATGGTCTCGGGAATCCCGCTCCAGGAACATGCAGCACTTCATGCCCTGTGCCCGCTCTGCTGTTGATGCCGGCGCGGCTGGCTGGCATGTGAACAGTATTTTGAGCACTGGAGTCTGGGTGTGCAGGGATAGCGCCCAGAGAGCATGGAAGGCAGGAGTGTGCTCCTGCTGGTCACGGCTTTCCCACGCTCTCCTCTACTGAACCTCGGTGGGCTTGAGGACAATCCCAGCTGAGTTAAAGAACCTGGGCATACAGTCATTCTAGTGCCTTGAATTTTTTTATGATCACAATTTTCCTCAAATCTGTAATTTAACTAGTGGCCTTTCAATTTAACATTGAAAGGGAATTAATTAGAGGAAATATTTTAATATTGCTGTTTGCTCTCTCTCTATAATAGAAGTGTCAGAGATGATAGAAAATTAGTAAAATGTATATGAAAATCTCCCTCCTGTCAGAGTCTGGGGCACGCCACAGGACCCAGAGTCAAGTCCCCACCCACCCGAGTGTGCCTCAAAATCACGTGAGACCCAGACTCAACAGCCCCACCCCCATCAAGCCCCGCTGGGTGAGGGGCGCAACCTCAGGTCCCCTGGCCCCGCACCGGGACCCCCAGCCCGGCACCAGGTGGGGTCATGGCCTCAGGTCCCCCGGCCCTCATGCAAGGGTGTGATGACCATCTGCATATTAGCTCTATTATATAGGATTACGTTAAAGAAAATAGAAGGAAAGGAGGAAAAAGACTGTAAATTTATATTAAAAAAAAAAAACAAACACACAATGGGAGGAGAAATCAGAAGATAAATCACATGGTTAGCTCTAGGGGAGGCAGAGGACATGGCTAAGGGCTAGATGCCAATCATTGTGGACTGAACCTTATTTTGTAGGCTATGGTTTGTTTCAATCTAATCTTTGAAATTTTCACTTGACTTTGAAACCATTAAAGTGTTTTTCATTAGTATAAAACAAAAATTAAATCAAAAAATGGAAAAAGATAAAAGGTAATTCCTAAAAATCAAAAGCCATATGATCTTACCAGCGTATCAAGTTGCGAAAACCACACAGATGCATTACTTCAATTGGAAAATAACTGCAAAAAAATTTTTAATATATACATGTTTATGTATCCTTCCCCTGTCTTATATTCCTCCACGTCACCAATTCAATGTACAGTTTGATTCAGGGTTGGCTTTTTTATTTTTTAAAAATACCTTTTTAATGATTTTTAGAGAAAGAGGAAGGGATAGAGAAAGAGAGAAACACAGATGAGAGAGGAACATCATGCTCGGCTGCCTTCTACATGCTTCCCCTAAGAATTGAGCCCACAACCCGGGCATGTGCCCCAACTGGGAATCAAACCAGTAACCCATTGGTTCCTGGCTCAACCATTGAACCACACAAGCCAGATGAGGGTTTACTTTTTAAATTCAGTTTTTTATTTTTTATTTTATTTATTTATTTATTTATTTATTTATTTATTTTAATTCAGTTTTTTAAATGTGTAAAATCTTCAGGTGGTTAGAAAGTCAAAACTTTTTTTTTTTTAAAGGAAAGGGAGAGAAGAAAGGTGCAGAATTCTCATTTCCATCCCTTTTCCCTAAATCTCTCTTCCCATTATGGAAAAGCATTTAACCTTCTGAAGTGTCTTTTGGTACAAAGAAACAAATATAAATGGGTATGTTACTGTTTCTCCTCCTTTCTTTCCTGCTTTTCCCCCTAACCATTTAGGAGAAATGGTTATAGAAGCAGGTCCTCCTTGTTCTTTTCTGAGCTGCATAGTGTTCCACTGAGTGGTGTTTATTCTGTCTATTCTCACCCCGCCCCTCCCCACTGAAGGGCATTAGGCTGTTGGCAGTCGTTGGCTTTCGGGGGACTCTCTGAGGCTTGACCTTGGGCTTATGTCTTTTGTTTATTGGTTTAGCTTCAGCGTTGGTGCCAGAAATGAAATTGCTGGCTCAACAGGCACACAGGTCTGAGATTTTATTGGGCCGTTCCCACCCCCCTAGTGCTGTTGACATCCCATCAGCACCCACTCCCAGGCTCCATCAGCAGTAGCCGGGGAGCTTTCAGACACCTGCCACCTGGAGCAGACACGGTCTCTCTGCCCCGTTTCTCACATAAACAGGATGAAAGAGGAGTTCACTCACTTGCTTCTAGGGCCTCTCCAGTGGCATCTTTCACCTTAGATTTGAGGTCCTTTCAGGGCAAGGTCTGGTAAGCGGGACGAGGCACAGTTTTACCTTTTCCAAATGGCTCCAGCATTTACTAAAAGTCCATCGTTTTCGCAGTGGTTTGAAACACCATGTTGATCACAAATCAGATTTTCAGGCAGCAGTAGGTCTCCTGAGTCCTCCTGCACGGGGGCCACATTTTGACGTGGGGCTGTATTCTGTATTAACCTGGGAGGGCCAGCCCCCACCCACCTACACCCCACGCCATTGATTGTCTGATTCCCAGCAATGGTTTCATTTGCCTTTTAAATTTTGGAACCTGCTTGTTTGTACTAAGTTTCTAAGTTAAATGGGAATAATTAACAGCTTTATGAGGCTGTGTTGTCCTTTCCAGTAGCTCTGTCCCACTGGCCCCTTTGTGCCTTTTAGGATGTTTTAGCATTTGCTTTGTGTACCTCCTGTGGGCTTTCTCATTGTTATAAAGTCCTTTTATTGAAGTATAACTTGCGGAAAGGCACACAAATGAACTGAACCACTCCACGAGTTTGCTCAGAGGGAATATATCTGTGTCTGGAGCCAGGTAAAAGCCACAGGACACTCCACACCCTCCGAGTCTCTGGGACTCACCAACAGTTTTGCTCATTTCTCATTAAGATGACATTTTAAAATATGTTTTTATTGAAAAAAAATTTTTTTAAGAGAGAGGGAGGGAGAGAGAAAGAGGAGAAACGTTGATTGGCTCCTTCCTGCATGCACTCTGATCAGGAATTGAACTTGCGACCTTTTGGTGCATGAGATGACGTCGCTCAGCCAACTGAGCCACACTGGCCGGGCTCATTAGGATGATTTCTAAGCCAATGTTTTGGTAAATGGGTCTTCCATTCTGTCTTTAACAGGTCACTAATATTTGTATGACTATTCTATTTCCTGGGACCTTACTGGATTTTGGTTTGTAGTAGCTTTTCTTGTGATTCTCATGGGTTTTCAGATCTCCTTTCATATCTTTTGCACCTAGATGCAGTTTTTCTCCTTTCTCTCCTATTCTTTTCCATCTGATGGCTCTGGCATCTCATTGCTTCTGTCTCCAGGGCCCTTAAGGGGTGGTGGGGACAGGGCCTCTGCCCTCTACTGGAGACACTTGGTTTCTCCTACAAGTTCAATGCAGCTGGGACTGCAGACTCACCCCAGTCCTGGTTCTGTGGTTTTAGCACAAGTGGGCATCGCATTTAGCCAGCTGCCTTGTCAGTGTCCACTTCAGTTCCGATCTGCTAATGGGTGGATCTTGAATGACATATTTGTACATCCTGATAAGCTCCAACTGATCGTGGTATCTTTTCTTTTTAATATGCCATTGAATTCTGTTGGTTAATGATGTAGTTAGGATTTTTGCATTGGTATTCATATCTGAGATTGATTTTTGTTTATGGTGCAGTCTCTATCAGGTGTCAGAGTTATACCCATTTTATAAATTTCCTATCTCCCTTCTCTATGCTGCAAACTTGGCTAGCCTTGAGATTGGTTTGAGACAGTGGGCAGGATTCAGCTGTGTGTCTATCTGGATGTCTGCCACTTTTCTCTTGGGATGGAATTTGGGCCTTTTAGAGTTCTGTTGGAGTCTGTTCGGGTAAATTACATTTTTCTACAAAATTAACCAACTTTTCAGATTTGTCTATACAAAGTTATAGAAAGTGGTTCTTTTTCCCCCTTCTCTTATAACAGTTACATTTCTTATTTTGTATATTTGTGTCGTCTTTTTCCCTTGATAAGGTTACCTAGTGGTTTATTTTTTTCAGATTTGCTTTTTAATTTATTTATTTTAATATTTTCCCATTTTGTAAGTCATTTTAATTTCTTAGTCTTTTTTCTTCTAACTCTAATTTTCTGAGTTAGATATTTTAACTCAATTATTTTGTTTTTAAATTTGTATTGATGTATTTAGCCACAGATATTCCTCTTTAGCTATATAACTGACTTGTTATATTTCATATCGTTGTTATCCAGACATTCTGTCATCAGGTAGAGCTGAGTTGTGGTTTTTGTTTACTTGTTTGGTTGGTTGGCTTTTAATTGCCTGATGGAAGGACCTTTTGTTTTCCATTTTCTCCATTTCCATTTGGTACATTGAGGTCAGATAGTTATTTGTATTGTTTATACTTCTAGAATTTGTTGAAGTGTTTGTTGTGGGCCAGTATGAGCTCAGAATTTATGAATGTCCCACGTGCACTTGAGAGGAGGTCAGGCCTGTTACGAGGGTAGAGTCTCATTGTGCTGTGACGGCAGCACTGGAAGCTCTGCTTCCCATCGCATTTCCTGCAGCATCTGCTTTACAGAAGCCGTCCTGCCGCTGGGCTCACAGATACTCATAGTTACTATGTCTTCCCTGTGGTCCAGAGGGCTGCAGCTTCTAGGATTGTGGTCTGAAATTCTTGCCCTGAACATCCCAGAGTTTTGCTCTGATTATTGTTTGGTACACAGGCTGATGGAGCTGATTTTGTTATTGATTTTCTGCCTGCTGTGTCTATTGCCATGCCCACATGATTCTCCCCTCATTGTCCCAGAGTCGTAGCACACGTCACCGAGGCAGGCGGAGTACCGCCCTGCTCTCAAGCTGGCCCTGGCGGCCGTGAGTGGAGAGTGACCACTCCATCCAGGGAGGGAGGCGGAGTGAGGCCTGGGAGCCCTGGCTCTGGGGCGGAAGGACAGCCCCTCCGCTGGGGCAGAAGCCCCCTGGTTGGCAGCCGCTCCTGCTGCCAGAGCCCTGGGCTCAAGGTCGTGTCCCACTGAGACAAGCCCCGTGCTCCTCCCTGCTCCCCACCGCTCCGGCTGAGAGGCACGGGAGCCAGCACTCCCTGCCAAGACCCCTTGCTCCTCTCGCCAGGACTCGCTCGGGTCCCAGTCATTCCTGGCCCTGCTCCGAGCCCTGTCCCTGGTGTCACTGCTCAGCTCTGAGGCCGGAGCCGCCACCGTGGGGAGCAGCTCCTCAGGCAGCCCCAGCCACGGCCTTTCACTTCTGTTACCTCCCCCGTCTGTTCCTCACCCTCACAGTGCCCTCTTGCTCTCCGTGTCCTCCTGACGCGGGCGGGGTGTTCACTCGGACTCCCATCCCCAGCAGCCTGCACCTGCGCCCTTCCCTCTTCCTCCCCAGGCCTGTTGGTCTCATTTGCCTCGAAGCGATTAGTCTCTCCTGGGAGCCTGTGAAACTTCTCCTGATCCTTGGAATTCAGCCATCGTGCCCATCATGGCCTCCAGTCTGCCCAGTGGGCGGTGGGGCAGTCCTGGAGGACAGGGTACATGTGTTGGAAGAGCTGGGGTGCCAGGTGTCTGCTGGCCCCACGGGGAGGGCTCGGTGGTCAGGCTGGCAGCCTGTGGAGGAGCTCAGACAGCCAGTGCCGGGGCTGCGGCCTGACCATCCCACCCTTGTCTGCTTCCCCAGGGCGGCAAGGAGTACCTGATGCGGGCCCACTTTGGCCTGCCCAGCGTGGAGGCTGAGGACAAGGAGGGCAAGCCCCCGATCAGTGTCAAGTTCGAGATCCCCTACTTCACTACCTCCGGCATCCAGGTACGTGCCCGGGGCCGCCGGGCCCGGAGCAGACGGGGCAACAGAGACCAGAGCGCGCTCAGGCCCAGAGGAGTGTGGGACACACATCTCAGCAGCTTAGGAAAGGGTTCCCGCCAGGTTGCCATGGCTCTGCCTCCTGCACGGGCAGCCCGGCCCCAACAGAGAGGCCCGTGTGTCTGCTCGGCCCTGCCCTGTGCTCTGCCCAAGCCCAGGGTGCATTCGGCCCCAGAACTGGAGTTTGAGCCTCTAGTGTCCACACACTTGTCCCTGTGGGCCCCACTTCCTGGCACCTCCGTGGGAAAGCTTTGCGGGGAAGAGAACCCTGGACCCTCTCCGGGAATCTCCGGAGCCGCACTTCCTGGCTCTTTGCCGCATCTTCTAGAAGCTCAGCCTCCGTGCGCTGCAGACAGACCAGTGCCCTTCACCCTTCCTCCACCTCTGTCCGCTCACTCCTCACAACCTCCCCGCGCAGCCCAGGGGGTGGTAAGGGGTCACCAGCAGAGGGCGGCATGGCACGCTCAGGGCCTGGTCCCTGTGCCCCAGGTGCGCTACCTGAAGATCATTGAGAAGAGCGGGTACCAGGCCTTGCCGTGGGTCCGTTACATCACTCAGAACGGAGGTACGTGCAGCCCCTGTGCGGCAGGGTGGGGGTGCCGGCCGAGAGGGTCCCTAGTGGCCGAGCAGCTGCCCCCGGGGTGGCTGCCCCTGGGGTGGCATCATGGACACCTCCCTCCCATCGCCTAGATTACCAGCTCCGGACCCAGTGAGGGTCAGTGCCAGCCTGGTGCAGGGGCTCCTGGGGAAGCACTGGAAACCTGCCAAGCCCGTCGGAAGGACACCACGACACTGGCCACCATCCCGGCTCTGCCGGGAGACCCCTCCTCCTCCGGACGTACCTGCTCTGCCGTCTCACACTTGTCTCCGAAGCCCCTTCCCCCGGAAGAGGCTTGTCTTCCAGATGCCCCGTCTCCTCGCCCGGGGCCGCCTGGGGAGGGAGCAGTCTTCCCCAGAGGCCACGGCAGCCTCGGCTGCGCCGTCCCAGGCACAGGAACCTGGGAACTCCCAGCTGCTCGGGGCACGTTCTGGCCGCCTGCCGTTCTGTCGGCTGTGTTTCCTGAGTGTCTCTGGGGTTTTGTCTTCGTCCTCGTTGCTGTTTACGTGAACCGTGCTCTCTGCTCCTCCTGCTCCTCGTCCCGAAGCTCTCAGCAGCACTTAGTGGGGACAGGAGCCCCTCCCCGGCCTCCTTCCACACTGCGCATCCTCCACCGGGGCCAGAGCCCAGCACTTCGGCCCCTGGGGCTCCTGGCCTGGACCGCAGGCTTCGGTGAGGTGCCTCCCCAGGGCCGCCTGTGCCACACAGGCTGTCGCTCCACCACATCAGTGTTTGTCCGCGGGGAGGGGGTGCAGGGAGCCCCTGGCCTCAGAGGACACAGGTCATCCACACCTGTGCTCGGCCACCCCTCCCCATCTGTGTTTGTGTCATAATGAGATTAAATTTCATTAATTAAACCCTGTGTCTGCCTTCCCTCAAATGCACTGTGGTGCAGATGCCCGGGTCACCAGGGGGCAGGGCAGGGTTCGTGTCAGCCTGTGTGTGACCTTGCGTGTGTCACCAGCTCCCAGCGCCTCTGGCCCGCCCCCAGGAAGGAGGGACTGGGCAGAGCCATTGGCCTGGACCACCTGATAGCGCACAGGCAAATTCTTTCCCTCTCATCCAGGGCGATTGTTGTGACCCCCAGCCCTCAGACTGCCGACGGTCTGCCCCCTCCCCTCGGCCTGATGCCCCCTCCCCTCGGCCTGATGCCCTCAGTGTGGGCCTCATCCCGCCAGCGTCAGTGTCTCCTGGGAGCGCACTAGAAATGCAGATTCCTGGCTCCACCCTGACCTGCTGAGGTAGTCTGGGACAGGGCCCGGGAGACCCGTGAACAGAGTGCAGGTGGTTTGTGTTTGCTCTGGAGCTTGAGAACTAAAGCCTGGTCCACAGAGGACTGGCTGCCTGGTCCTCGGAGGGAAATGTGGCAGATGCCTGGGCAGCAAGTGCCTTGTCCTCGCGCCACAGGCGCCTGCCCCCATGCCCGCTGCTGCTCTAGCACTGATGGCCTCCCCCGCTCCCACCCCCACCAGTTTCAAGGGCTGTGCTCCTTCCTCCTGCCGTACCACCCCACTCCCCTTCAGGTCTCCTGGACATCGCCCGGGTGCTTTCTTAGCATTCCGCCCACTTGGAGTAAGGAACACTGGCCCAGCACTGAGCCACCGCTCTGCCCGCCCCTACTGCCCACACCCACATCACAGCAAGCCCGAGGCCCTGGTCTGATTCCACTTCCCATTCTCACTGCCTCTCCTGGAGGCCAAGCGCAGCCTCGGGCGCTCCCAGGGCTCCACATGCAGAGCAGACCCTCTGCTCCCAGCGATGTTTGAGACAATGTTGCTGGCACACCCACTATAAACATAGAAATGCATAAACTAATGTGAATGCACAGCAAGGGAATATCTGCACGAGCCTAAACCCGGAACCAAGCGCCAAAGAAATAGCCAGAGCCGGTTCTCTCGGGAGCCTAGGAATTAGAGTTGAAGGGCCAGGCAGTGGGTGGGACGCTGGGCCTGTGGAGGTCAGTGAAATGCCAGGGGGGTTCCTATAGTGACAGGAGGAAGATGGGCTCACCAGAAAAGCTGCCTGTCGTCTGGCCCTGGGAGACAGGAAGCCCTCTCCACTCTCTCGGCTGGAGAGCTGGTGGAGAAAAGTCTCCCCGGAAGTTTTGCAAGGACCAGTTTAGAGCTAAAATGTGCAACGCCCAGATGGTCTGGGAACACCCAAGCCAAGGCTTTATAAAACAAACTCTCACCCTAGCTGGCTTGGCTCAGTGGATAGAGCGTCGGCCTGCAAACTGAAGGGCCCCGGGTTCAGTTCCAGTCAAGGCACATGCCCGGGCTGCAGGCTCCATCCCCAGTGGCAGGCTGACCAGTAGGAGGCATGCAGGAGGCAGCCGATCAATGATTCATCATTGATGTTTCTATTTCCCCCCCTCGCTTTCTCTCTGACATCAATAAAAATATATATTTTAAAATATATTTTATTGATTTTTTTACAGAGAAGAAAGGAAAGGGGTAGAGAGAGAAACATCGATGAGAGAGAGAGACATGGATCAGCTGCCTCCTGGACTCCTCCCACTGGGGATGTGCCCGCAACCATGGTACATGCTCTTGACCACAATTGAACCTGGGACCTTTCAGTCCGCAGGTCGACGCTCTATACTAGGGGTGTCGAACTCAATCAGAGAAGGGGCCAAAATCTAAAATCCAGCCTAAATCGCGGGCCGAATGGTTTACTGAACAGTCATAAACTGTCATTGTGATGGAAACGCAGCGGAGTGCAGTGATGACAGCGCGGTGTGGGCCACATTGCAAGGCCTGGCGGGACGGATTTGGCCCGCGGGCCTTGTGTTTGACACATGTGCTCTATACACTGAGCCAAACCGGTCTCGGCCAATAAAAATATTTTTAATAAATAAAAAAGTCTCTCCAGCCCAGCTGGTGTGGCTCAGTGGTTGAGCATTGGACTCTGAACCAGGAGGTCATGGTTTTTTTTTTTGTTTGTTTGTTTGTTTGTTTTTTAAATATATTTTATTGATTTTGTACAGAGAAGAAGGGAGAGAGATAGAGAGTTAGAAACATCGATGAGAGAGAGTCATCGATCAGCTGCCTCTTGCACACCCCCTACTGGGGATATGCCCGCAACCAAGGTACATGCCCTTGACCGGAATCGAACCCGGGACCCTTCAGTCCCCAAGCCGACGCTCTATCCATTGAACCAAACCGGTCTCGGCTGGGAGGTCATGGTTTGATTCCGGTCGGAGCACATGTCCAAGTTGTGGGCTTGATCCCCAGTGGAAGGTGTACAGGAGTCAGCTGATCAATGATTTTCTCTCATCATTTATGTTTCCATCTCTTTTCTTTCCTCTCTAAAATATATATATATTTTAAACCACACACAAAAACAAAACAAAACAAAAACAGACTCTCCAGAGGGGAGTGACTCCAAGATACTCACTCATAGAGCCACCCTACATGAGTGCACAGCCAGAAAATTATAAAACGTGGGTGAGTGCGCACCGAGTAAGCAGCAGGATCAGATCCTCAAGACCTTGGTGTAAGGATTATCAGACATATAATATGCAGCACATATGCCCTGAGAGAGTACAGGCAAACAGAAGCAAATGTAGAAAAGAACAAAATGCTGTTCAGACAGGACCGTTGCGACATCTAACTGGGCAAGTAGTCTGTATACAAGTTATATGGCAACTTCTAGAAATCAGAACAGGAAAGAATCCAAGAGAAAAATGGGCAAAATATGTGAGCAAACAATTCTGAGAAGATGAAATGCAAATAGCAAGTGAACATGAAAAAATGTCTAACCTTGTCATAATTGAGGAAAGACCACGATTAGATGCTATTTCACACTCATCAGCTTGAGGGGGTAACTAAACCAACAAAACCAGAGACCAGTGAACAAGTGGAGCTTGAGGACATGTTTGTCCTGCTAGCAGTTCTGGGAATTGATATGATCACTTTTTTAAATCGGCAAGACGACAGGGTTCGAGTGCTGCTCAGGTTCTTGTGCACACAGCGGGTAACACGCAGTGAGCCCCGCACCAAAGACTCACACCCTTTACATGTGTGTATCATACCTCAGCGTTTAAAGCTTAAAAATAAAAATGCTAACAGCTAAAAAAATAGAAACCACGTTAATGAAATGAGCAAATTGCAGGAGGATGTTGTCCTGTTATTTATACAACGTTTAAAATCATGTAGCCCAGGCAGCATGGCTCAACGGTTGAGCGTCAACCTACGAACCGGAGGTCATGGTTCAATTCCGGTCAGGGCTTATGCCAGGGTTGTGGGCTCGATCCCCAGTGTTGGGTGTGCAGGAGGCAGCTGGTCAATGATTCTCATCAGTGTTATTTCTATCTCTCCTCCTTTCTTCTCTAAATCGATAAAAGTATTTTTTAAAAACAAAATTATGTAAAACAATACTTCATGCTGTTTATGGCCACATAATAAGATATAGAGGCATGTAGGTGAAAGACTAACTCCAGACTCTAGATAGTTGTACCCTCTGGGGTGGGAGAGAAATGGGCCTCCCCTGGGAACCAGGGGCAAGCTTTATCCCTGGTCTGTGGACATTTGTTCCATAATCACCAATGTTGCTGGGATGGTGTAAGACTGCTCTTCACATGGAGATTCCGATCATGTCCCCGTCCCACCCTGGCTCCCAGTGCCCTCAGAGTAAAACTCTCACTCCCTGCCCTGCGACCTGGCTTCCTCTGCCCCCCTCCCCTCTGTTCCAGCTACTCCCCGCCTCGGACACTTTCCAGATGCAGGCCACCTGCCTAGTGCACCTTCTCCTGGCTGCCTCCTCTTGGACACCCACAGCTCAACTCAAAACTCACCTCCTTGGCCACTCCAGCTTGGGGCGACATGCAGTTGTCCTTTGTATCACATTTTCCCCGAACCCCGTCTCCTGGGAGCCCCCCAAGGGCAGGCAGGGTCCCCTGTGAGGTTAGTCACTGCTGTGTTCACAGGGCCCGGGGCAGTGCAGTGTGGACTCTTTAGACAGGGGGACCTGGGGATAATCCTCCCAAGCTCTGCCAGTTTTGGCCACCAGGGGGTGACCATGGGTCAGAAATCAATGTTTGGGGACAAACTCAGTCTGAACTAAGGACACAGGGAAAGACGGTCCAGACGGACCTGGGGAGTGAAGGACTGGGAGCACCTGACCACCCAGGGGTGCCCTCCTCGGGCAGCTGCAGATGGAGGGTGGGCAGGGCACTGGGGACCCGGGTCTTAGAGTGGAACCTGTGATCCCCACCACGTCGGGGCCAGGGAGGGGTCAGGCTGTCCCTCCCAAACTCCGGAATCTCAGCTCGTGGCAGATTGCTCAGCCCCTGCCTGAGCCCACCGCCCCCACACTGTACACAGGGGGAAACTGAGGTCCAAAGACAGGCTGGAGCAGCCTTCAGGGTACCAGGACCAGGCAGGGCCCCCTCGCCTCGTGCTGCCCGCCCAATCCCTCCAGTGGCCCTCTGAGGGAAGCTGTGGGCCTCGTGCGGGGGAGAGAAGACAAGGTACCTGTCACCCACATCCTTCCAGCTTCCTAGTCAACAGACGGGGAGCTGGGCTGCCCCCACCCCGGCCTCACCCAGGAGCTCCTGTAAAAGCTGGGCCCCACAGGGTGGCTCCCCTTGCTGGTGGCCTCCTCAGACGCCTGGCTCTCTCTGGGCCTATTTCTGTGACCTCGTGCGGCTTCCGTACGCCCTTCTGTTAGAAGCAAGAGCCAAAACCGGTTTGGCTCAGTGGATAGAGCGTCGGTCTGTGGACTGAAAGGTCCCAGGTTCGATTCCGGTCAAGGGCATGTACCTTGGTTTCGGGCACATCCCCAGTAGGGGGCCTGCAGGAGGCAGTTGATCGATGTCTCTCTCTCATCGATGTTTCTAACTCTCTATCTCTCTCTC